CCTCTTCTCATCTCTCGTCTATCTTTTTTCTTCCTCTCTCTCTCCTTAATTTGCCTGTCGCACGGAACGAAGCGCGCAGGATGGAAATAAATAAAAGTGTGCTCCAAAAATTAGAATATCTATTACAAGAGATTGCAGAATCTCTAAAGGAAGAGGTGGCTGTGATAAATAATTTGCGTCCTGAAGAAACTTATGCATCTTATTTGAAGCATTTGGCTGCTTCTACTGGAATTCTTGGAAAACTGGACTTGAAGGAGCGCCACGGCCATGCAGATCATGTGAGTGGTGACGGCAAAGAAGCATTATTGGACACGGAGGATTCATTCAGTGACTGGGTTCACGTTATCCACCCAGTTGCTGATGAGTTTAAAGGAGACTCCTCCGTATCATCAGCCGTGCCACCAACAACAAAGTTTAATTCTGTGGCACGGCTGCTTAGATATTGGCTCGGTTTAACAGCAGACACAATATTGTCCGCGACAGCCGATATTCTCGTTTCGGTGACAGCCGCCATTCTTAGAATCATTATCACCACCATGCTCGATAGGGCTCGTGCACTTGACAAACTTAAAGGGATCCTGAAAGTTATTATTCAAGAATTGGAAAATATAAACCCAGAAATACGGGAAATCGTTACTACCTTGGTTGCCGCGAAAGTCATGATCAAGCTTTCAGAAGAAGATGAATCTGAAGTCCCTAAGGGGTTCTTGGCGATCATACAACAATGTCTGCTCAAGTTCCAGGTACGTTACACATATAAATCTATATAAATTAGCTTATACATGGGGAATATACACATGACATTATTGTGAGCGTCTCTGTCGTATTTCAAGGCGTGGACATGTAACAGTAAAGGGTAATGTTAGGGATACCAACTTTTTAAACCAAATTTTAAAATTTTGTAAACCATAAACGTGATTGTTGATGATTGAATTATTATTTAAGTGTTGATTGAAATGCTTACTTCCTATTGCTGACACGTCATTTGGTTTGCAAATTTGATCTAAAAAGTTGGTATATCTACCTATAATTACTCGATGTCAAATATATATTAATAAAGTGTATTATTTTTATTTTAACCTAACAATTGCGAGTCTTTAATATATATACTGATTTTTTTGTTATCAATGTTTGGAATTTTCTGTGCAGAAAAAATATCCGGACATCTTGGATGGGGAAATACAAGCTTCAGATGCATAAACTATATTTACAATTTTATTTCTTTTTTTATATTTCTGTTAGAGGAAAATAAGAATTCTTCACCAATAGGGAAAGAATAGTACTAAACCGTAATATTAGTGATGATTTGGTTATGTTACTATCTAATTAGTCTAATTGAATTAGTTTTTTTTTCTTTGAAAAAGTACAATTGAATTATGTTACTATTTGATTAGTCTAATAAATTAGTTTTTTTTTAACAAGTATAATTGAATTAGTTATGAGTAGTAATTCAATTAATCTGCTTTACTTTTTTTTTTCTTTAAATAATCTCTTAATTCCTTCATATCATGTTATGTTATGTTAGGATAGGTCCTTGGTACACCACCTCCAATTCAGATGGTATGAGAGGGTGGAGGGGTCAAAACATGGGTAATGGTGGTCTCAAATCATGAGTAGTCAGTCATGGAAATTTTCCGAATCTAGGTCGGACCAATAAAGTGACTCGTCTTCCGAACTTAAGACCTTCTCAAGGATTTCTTACAGAGTAATTTTGATTAAAAATTTCAATCACGTCATAGGTTCGCAGCAATTATTTTAGTTTATGTTCATGAATTTATTTTCACGTCTTCTAAAAAGCTAGAACGAACAAGTTGAAGTGTGCCTCACTAACTCCTAATTTCTCGACAACGCTTAGTGAAATACATATGTACTATGGTCGAATAGAATTCCTCTTAACATTATTTAACATGTCATCTTTGACGATTTGAGTTGTACTTGAAATTTTCCGTTCAATATCATCGCTTTTGTACTCAAAAGGTTTTACGTGGACCTTTGGGCGCAACAAATTTATAATGTACTATAATGTATACGTGGTTTGGTTCCAATTGTGATTTTCATGTCACTTGTTCATAGGTGAGTAATTCATAGAGGTACACAAAATAATGTTATGTACTCAACTCAAGTTATAAAATATGGATTTGTTTTTATATTTTATTGATAATACTCAAAAAGCGAGACATATAATTTATAGTATAATACACAAAGGAAAAAAAATAGCATCACGTGACAGTATTCCTCGTACCCAAAGGGTGCGTTTGTTGCGCCGGACTGTCTCGGACTGGACTAGCTGCCGGGACTAAGCTGGACTGGCTTAGACTGGACTAAGCTGGACTAATTTAGTGAAGCGTTTGGTGTAATGTCGGACTAAGAAGCAGGATAAGAAAAACAGTATTGTTCACCAGATTTGTGTTTGCTTAGACTAGGACTACAAATTTTTGTCATTGTGTAATAGAGTAATGCTACAAATCTCATGATATGGGTTAATTGGAGCATATTTTTGCCATGTATATTATGAATCTTAAAAAAAATTGACAATTGTTTTGTTTCTATTACCTGCTAATAGAATTGGGTTTAATTTGCAAATGTAGCTTGGTTTAAACTCTATCACCCAACAGAAGAAAAATAATAGTGCCCAATACATGCAACTTCAACAAATACAAGTACATAATGAAGATCTCCATAATTTAGAAAATCCTAGTTAACATTAGTTAACATTAGCCAAAATAGATCTCCATAATTTACAAAATGGCTAGTTAACATAAGCCAAAATACTAGTGCAAAGCTAAGTTATAAGCCATAACATATAAGATTGTATGATTAATAAAAATACATCTATGTTAACATTAATAAAATACATCCATGTTAACATTAGCCAAAATCCTCATCCGCTTGCGTTGTCGCTTAAAAGCCTTTGGACGAACACTTTCTTAGCCTTAGCCTTCCGTTTATGCTCCTCTTCTCTGCAACCAACAACCACAAAAAATTGCAATTCAGCATCAACCCCACACAATACAAAACATTCACATTGTAATATCATGGTTATAAACCAAGTACACACACACACACTGCATACATACACACACACACACACACACACACACACACACACACACACACACACACACACACACACACACACACACACACACACACACACACACACACACACACACTGCATACATACACACACACACACACTGCATACACACACACACACACACACCACACTGCATACATACACACACACACACATGCATACATACATACACACACACACACACACTGCATACATACATACAACACACACACTGCCATACACCACACACACTACATACACACGCACACACACATGTACATACACACACACACACTGCATACATACATACACACACACACACACACACACACTGCATACATACATACACACACACACACACACACACACTGCATACATACACACACTGCATACATACACACACACACACACTGGTCAGATGCACACACTGCACTCACACGGACATACACACTCTCACACACTGACATACACTCACACACACCCTGCATACATACATACACTGCATACATAATCAAATTGTACAACTTAAGTTGGTTCAAACTTACACACAATACACACACATACTACACAAACACACACACACACACACACGGCCACAATACACAAACACACACACACACACACAATACACACACACAGGAATCAAGAAAACCAAGAACTGCAAATAAAACTGAAGTATTTCAGCACAAGGAATCAAACAACAACAAATTTCTGCATTTATTTACATAAGTGAGATTAAATGAACAATTGTAAAAAGCAATTGAAATAGAATCGGATGGATATGAATGGGAAAGTACAGCAGACCAAAACAAACAACTGAGCCCAGTGCACCAGGCTACTGCCATGGCAGCCATTGCAGAGTCATTGCAAAATAGATACATAGACAAACAATTAATGAATTTGGCTCCAAGTTTTCAAATTTTATTTATTAATAATTTACCAAAAACAACACCCAAACTCCAAAGCTCTGCATCTGCATCTCAATTCTTTGTCTGTAATACTAGTTTTCTAATCAAAAGCCTTGCATATACATCAAATTGTGGACGTGATAGGAATAGACAAGAGCACCACATGTTGAGGCACACAATTCTTTGTCCTTAATACTAATTGTCTAATCAAAATTTGCACCATAATTATCATTTTACTTTCCTCATATAACACCTAATTATTGATATTAATATGAACAAATGTGCAGCCCCGTGCACCAGGCTACTGCCATTGCAAAGTATTGCAGAGTCATTGCAAATTACACAGACAAACAATTTGAACGATGCTAATAACCCACCAGCCTCGGACCACTTAGCTACTACTAATTTATGAAATTCAACCCAAATCAAAAACACCCAAAACCACAAAATTCAAGAAAACTAATATTATCTACAAAACTGACAATCTTTGATGTAAAAATTCCAAATTTTCAGAATTTTCAAACCCAAAACAATGAATCGATGAAAACCCAGTAATAATTTAACGATCTAGAACAGAATCGAAGAAATAAATCGTCAGATTTGAAATTTACCAGACCAAGAGTAGATGATGACGAGCAGGAGATAAGGGCGAGCAGTACGAGGATGCCAGTGCAGGAAGATGAGCGAGCAGACGAGGACGAACGACGATTCTCTCTCGAAGACGGGCTTAGCAATCCCGTGGTATTTGGGCGTCCTCGCTAAGAACTCCGAGCGAAGGAAATAGTCGGAGCGAGTGAGGGCTAATCTCATTAAACTTAGTCCCTCTGCCTACCAAACATGGGACTACACTAATAATTAGTGTAGTCCAGTCCAATGAAACTTAGTGAGCCCAAACAAACACCCCCAAAAAGATTTCAGAGCGAAGGGATTACACATTTGGGCTCAAAAAGTATTTATAAATGATGGCCCAAAATAATGAAAAGGCCCACCCCACCCACACTTCTAATATCCACACAGATAGTCGTCATCGTCTGCGACGCACCGAGTTCAGTGGGCGAGCGAGACCTGAGCTAGTGAGCTCAACAAAGCCCGAGCCTGAAGAGTGCTACGGCGTCGCTTCCGAAGTAGAAGTTGAAGGAGAGAAGAAAGATGAATACAGACATCACAGCGTCAACGAAGCCCGAGTACCCGGTCATAGATCGGAACCCTCCGTTCACCACAGTCGTCGGCAACTTCAGCACCCTCGATTACTTCCGTTTCGCCACCATCACCGGCGTCTCCGTTACCGTCGGCTACCTCTCCGGTATCCCCATATCCCTTTCCGATTTTTCACGCTTTCTTCGATTAAAGCAGTAATCTTGATTAAGTAATTTGTGTGAATTTGATAGGGATTAAGCCCGGGATTAGAGGGCCGTCAATGGTTACAGGAGGTTTGATTGGGGTAATGGGTGGATTCATGTACGCTTACCAGAACTCGGCGGGACGCCTCATGGCCTTTTTCCCCAACGACGATGAGGTAGCTCGTCACAAGAAATGAAAATGCACATTCAGTGTTCACATTTCTAGGGTTTCTCTCTAATAATCAGACTGTTCCTTTTGTGCTGAATTCATTCATGTGCTACTTAATCGGAGATTAAAAGTTGCAGTTTTTTGGATCCGATGCCAATGCTGTCGTTTAAGTGTGTTTTGAAATGTCATACAACTGATAATAAAATGCTGCTGTTGTTGATATGATGCTATACAATGTTGTCCAACATTTTGTGGTGTTGGCTCTGAACAAGTTTATTTTATTTGTGATTCGTTCCAATTAATGGGATGTTAGCTCTCTGAGTTGGAAGTATGCGGAATTTTATCGTATTGGATCAAGCTTAACATGTTGTTTCCAGAGCTATGCTTAACATGTTGTTTCCAGAGCTATGTTTTGCTTTTATGTAATTGTTGATTAAGAAGAATAGCTTCCGGTTCGGGAGAATGATCATTTACGCATTTTTCCTTTCATGATATCCTTGAATTGGTGATTGTCAAGCTAGAATAGAAATATGCTTTTGTGATTGGCATATGAGAAGGACATAACTGAAGATCGGTCAGACTTTAACAGTGCTAGTTACGTGATTTTGCTTATCAAGTTTTTGAAACTTGTGAGCCTATGTCTAGTTCAAGAGGAGACGGAAACAGGTGGAGGATGGTTTTGCAAAACAGCCGAGGGTTATAGAGTAGGAGCAGAAGGTGCGCGTAAAGGTAGGAAAAGAAGCTAAGCACTAGGCTGGGAGCGTTACAAACTGATTGTTCCCTTCACACGTTTGCTGCATGATTTCCTGATCTGGACAGATAATAGATAATAAGCTCTGTCATAAGCTTTAAGAGAGGAGAGGGAGAAGAAGGAGGGGGGGTGGACGGGGGTGTGACCGGCTCAGTTGGGGTTGTTTTATGTGATAATACCCGTTATTTTACCCCTTCTTGAAAAATCTACTCTACTCTCTATGGAGCTTGTGGATTGTTCTATTAATTTGGGAGGCTGATGTTTGGTATAACGAAATGTCATGGGAAGTGGTTGAAGATTAATGATAACCAGTTAGGGCGTCGTTTCTAATGCAGATATTGCTATTCGATTGTTATTTTTTGAACCTAGGCTTGTATGTGTTCTGTTTGTATAACTTGTAGCATGCACAAGCCCATACTAAATATATCGTCTCTTTGATTGTTCACCCCTGTAGTTATTTGTGTTGTTTGTATGCAAAATGATTATGTATGGCTGACTTTATACAAAGTCCATATCCATGGTGGAGATGGAGTAGGATTCTCTCCCATTTTTTTCTCCTCTCCTTCTCTCCTCTCCTATTTGAATGGTCATGGTTAAGTCACGTCAACATCTTATATTAATTTTATATAGAAACAGAAAGACAAAATAGAGAATGTGAGAGGAGGAGAGAGAAGGGAATGTAAGTAGGAGGGGAGAGAATCCTAGTCCAGGGAGATTAGGCTTTGTAATTGTAAAATTAAAAGTACAGATATTTATATCCACCATTGACTTTGTGCTAAATGAAAACAAAAGTATATATTAGGCTTTGTAAATTTAACTATTTCAGTAGAAATGTATGTAGGTTTTAATCTTGGCTCTGATATGATTTGGACCCGAACTGCTCCATGCAAATGTTGATGCACCTTGGTTGCACTCAGCTAGGTCTGCAGCAGCACCTCAGGGTTCAGTCATCAAGTTGATACCCTGAAGATGCGGTGATTTTGAGTCTCTGGATGATCGGAGAAACCTATCCTCCGTTACAAGAGTGTTTGTCGTGGTCTCCCGTCGTCCTTCATCCCCCGTCTCCATCTCCATATCCAATTTTTTTTTCCTTCTCCACTAATCTCACCAGCAGCAGCAGCAGCAGCAGCAGCCGCAGGAGTCATCAAAGTCTGGAGGTGTTCATGAACAGTTGGAACAAATGTTACTATCGGACAGTACATCGTTTTCCATTGAGTAAATAATAAAGGACCCCACGTTGGAACGTCAATATCTCAATTCAATTCAATCGTGTCTTGAAACGCGGCTGGAGTCTGGACCCACGTAACACGTTGGATCCGGTGGGCGGGGCACTTACCGATTCATTCAACTACCTTCAAGGCTTCAAGCATGTTCTGGATTCATTTTCATAAGGATTCGACGTGATCATGGAGTGCCGGCTGTCGACTACCTGACGCCCTCCCCCTCCTCCTTTATCCGGGCTTGGGACCGGCCATGTAAGACATAGGCGGAGTTCTTCAAGGCTTCAAGCATAAATGCTGTAAATTATACCAAGTGTTAATTAATTAATCATTATTTCATTTTATAGTGTCACTGTCTTATTTTCATAATTAGTATTATAAAAATTATAAAATTGTGATTAAAGAAGAATGGTGATCTCATCCCACTTCCCACGAGCACCCGCACCAGGCAAAGCAAAGGCATGGTCGGAGTAGTAGGTAAAGAGAAAGTCCTCCACCCACTTCCATACAAATTACAAGAGGTAGTTCCCAATTAAATATCAAATATTTGCATTTTGCTTCTAATTTTGGAAGCTTCCTTTTACGTGTGACGACCATTTTGAGATTAGGACAAAATCTTAATTGACACTCATATCATTTATGCCATATTTAAGGTCTCCCAACAGTGGCTTCCATGAATATTAATTAATAGCATTTACATTTTATATGACGACTCATGTTAGTACAACTCTTATAATATTAGTGAAGGCATGAGCGAGCTAGCTAGCTAAGAGAGATAAGAGAAATATTAGAGGACTTTACAAATGTTTGGCATACTACTCCTAGAAAGTTTATCCCTTTCTATGATTTATAGCAGTTAAAAGTGAGTCTCATCACTCGTGTCAACTGACACATTTTACGCACCGATGTTTTTTTTTTTTTTTTCAAGCATGCGTATAATGTCGCTTATTTTTAATCTTTAAATTGAATCAACCGATAAAAAAATAATAGACATAAATAAACAACAACATGCAAAAAGAAAAAGAATATATGCCACACCATCAACAATTTTAGACCAAAAAAAAGGACAAATCTTAAAGCGTGTTAAAGAAAGGCCATGGCAATTGGGAAGGTCAAATGGACAATACATCCTAATCTTACGACGCAAAGTCCAAATCTTCACGTGCCATGCAATGACTGGTCCCCCCATCAACTCATTCATTAATTTATACCCAAGCAAAAATTTTAGTGTTGCTATCCGATACATAAAGTTGGATTTCATTTCAATACCACTGGAATTATGTACTTGTATTAGGCTGAAACAAGAAATGAAATGTCATACAAGAAAACCCTAGCTGCGAGAGAGGAAAAAACCTACCCCCGCCGACTGCAGCCCTTGATGTTGGGGTCAATGGCCATCCTTCTTAATTCCTTCCTTCTCCTTCTTTTTTTTCTGTTTTTAGTAGTGATCATTCACTCGCTTTGTCGATGAGAACCTTTGTGTTTGTGGTTGTGGGTCACTCTCTCCTTGTAAGGAGGAGAACTTTTGTAACAATTATGACTTACGGCTCAACCTCGAATCTTAGAACGATAATTGTTGTTCAAATATGAAGTGATGCTTTTGTGGCTTGTGCACTTGGTAAGGATTATGTAGAAGAAGCTCAACGTTTGTTGGAAGTGATTTAAGCAGAGTTTTTTCCTGCAATTACAGGACCATCAAAGGGGTTTGGGATCTTTCTCTTATATATGAGGTCGTTCCAATGGTTTGATGGATTCACAGTCATGTTTTTGTGTCATTGCAAAGTTTTCAGGTAATGGTATGTGTTTACCTTGTGTGTCTTGACAGTGTAGGTCCGACTCGTAGGGTTTAGGCCTTATGAGCTTATCTTTCCTGTTAGTTAGGTGTAGTCTCCTGTGGTTGAAGAATCATACATCCAAGGAATTTGTTTTGTTTTGGTTGTGATTTCGTTGTCTATTCGCCTGACAAAAGACTATGAGTACATCTATTCTCATAGCAAGGTTTCTTTGTCGACAGAGCATCGTCCCTTGCCATTTCATCATAAAGAGATGCAAGGTTTGTCCTCGTGGATGTTATCTTTCCATTTGGTTATATGTGATTACGTGGGGCAGGTTTTGCATTGTCCGTGGTGTTTGTAATCATGGAATTGTATTTCCGGTCAATAATGTTCCTCATTTTATTCAATTAATATTACCTTAAAAAAAAAAGAAATGTGTTATCGGAGTAGACCACTGTAGTTCTCGTAATTATTAATAATTTATGTACTATAATATGTAAGGAGATAATAGTGTTATATTTATAACGTATAATATATGGACTTACACCGACATATCCTCAGAGTATTTCGCGAAAAATGTAGATTGCGAATATTTTATGCAGCTCCCATAAGGCACGTAGTCTTAAAGATATTCCTAATCCTAATCTTATTGGTTTCATCAATTGGGATCAATAAAAACCATTATCTTGATGACTACTTGCTTTTGTCGTTTTTCTTAATTAATTAGATTTAACTTTAAAAATGGTTTATCTGTCTGATTGGCTAGTTTCAGTACCACCTGCACGCATTAAGAAAATCCAAACCTAATTATGTTTTTAATCTTTTCTTGATAGATTATAATTAGGGTTTTGGAGGCTAACATGTTCAGCACCAGGCTCCGAATAACATCAGATCTTTTGTTCCTTGGACTGGAGTTCAAGACGCTGACACATTTTAATCATTTTTTAATTTCGAGTTCAAAAAACGTTGGTTGAAAGCTTTAAACAAAAATAAAAAATTGAGCTAAGGGCACCACAAGGGAAGTTCGAAGAATGTGGGGCGTGGCAACCTTCCAGGCAAAAGCCCTGCTTATAAGATGTCCCTTCTTCTCCCACTATATTTACGAGAATGGCATTTGACCGTTCTGTCCCGAGAGTCCCTGCCCCGAAAGTCTCCAAATCATACCATGCAACTTCCAAGTGGACGGGAATCGACTGAAACCACCCATGGTTTTTGTCTCACTTAACTCTCATCGATGAGTAGCCTTTGCTTCTTTAATTGCATAAGATTCTACAAAATATCAAATCAATATATTCTATTCGCATACGGTAATTTTTATAAAGATTTTACGTTGTATAAAAGTTAGTCATGTATGGTATTATCAGTATTCGGAAAATGAATATACTTGTTGCTCAATTTGTATTTTGATTTTCACGGTAACGGTTAATTAGTCTATTTTTACTAAGCGTACGTGTTAAAAGTTAATTTATTTTACAACAATACATGTTATTTCAATTAAGCTTGTATAGCTTGCTGCACAAACCTCTTACACACATAAACAAAATAACAAATATTAGACAAATATTTGGACTCAAATAACCTAATACATTTTACTCCTTTGGATAATATATATGGTAAAGCCCACTTGTCTCAATTAATAAGAGAGTTGTTTATCTATTTCATCTGAAAAATTGTCTCCAACTGGATTGTTTCTTAATCATCATAAACATATTGTGGAGCCAAAAATATTCATTAGGCGACACGTGGACTTTTGGACAAAAGAGGACAAAAATACCTTGAGGCATACCGAGGTTCCTATGCGCAAGCAGCAGAAAATTATCTTTAAACCAAGTCAGAAATGCCCAAAATAGGTAACAATTCAAAACCTATTTCATTCCATATATTTTTTACCTCACTTTCCCTCTTTTAGCCGAACAATTAGCTAGTCATTCTATAACCTACCAAATCTTCCGCATAAATTAAGTTAATTGACAAATTAATGGGATTATTACCTAATAAACTCATTAATTTTCAATTAAGTTATCATTTAAGCCTAAAAATCACCCTAAAGGCCGGTTATCCCTCTCCAAAATGGGGGTTGGCCATTTCCTTTGTTTTCCCACCATAATTTGCCTTTTTTGACATTGATTAGCTAATCTTGTCAACCAATATTTTATTGATTAGCTGATTATACCATTAAAAACATTCATTTTATGTTTAATTAGCCAAATAAATTGGCTAATTAAACCTAAATTAAACCTAAAAACCCTAGCTAGGCCGGCCACCTCCTATCCCTATATATAGGCACCCAATTTCCACCAAAAAGCAAGGCGAATACTCTTGCAAAAATCCCAAAATTCTCTAAACACTATTTCTCTCTAAATTCTAACTTTGGCATCAGAGGTTCTTCGGCCAAAACCCCCCTATTCATCGTGGGCGCGTGAGACTTGTGGTCATAACCAAATGTGTTATTTATTTTGTAGGTGCAATTTTATCCAAGATTAAGGAGGAAGAAATTTGCATCCACACATATATAGAACAAAAGAGCCGAGTAGTAACCTATGTATAAACAATAGAGGATAATATTTGTTCTTTTATTTGGTTAAATTTTTTAAAGAATTAACGGTTCAAAACTCTTATGCATACCATGCTCCAGTGCATGGTAGAAAAATTCAAAGTTTTATCTCTCGTCTTCTTCCAACTTTCATGACGGATTAAACCCTTGTTAATTATTTATCTTTTTTTGTATTAAATATGTACATTGATATTGCTGACATATATTAGAGCAGCCAAGTTTGAGTCTTTGAGATGTTTTCCAATCGTGGATAGTTAACCCATAATTAACAAGACCAAACGAAGAAGACCTAAGTATATATGATCATTTCCTTTAGCTCATTTTAAGACGATTAAACCGCACGTTGGATCAATGATTTAAGTTTATCAAATGAAGACTTAATAAGGTGAGATTAGAGTAATCATAGTTCATGATATGTGTATATATATGTGTGTGTATTATATAGGTCCTAAATCCTGTCTTAAATACGCTTTGACTGTAAGTAAAAGTCTACGAAGTACAGTAGTCCATTCTCCGTTTCTTTCTTAGTTTTCTACTCCACTTGCCTGCACACGGTCATCCTAACTCATGACCACACGTCGCGACGACGTTGTTCATGAGAAGAAGGTTAATATCGTCATTTCGTTCCACAGCTCAAAGCATGTACACGGTGGTCCAAAAATTCTACTTAAAGGGGTGATCTTGTAATTAACTCTAAACGCAGTGGCCTTTGTTTCTCAGGCACAACTATAAAAAATCTACAAGGTCGCAGCACATAGTTCTAGGACAGGACAGAAGGATTCCTCTTTGCCTGCCGCCTGAACAAGAGGAATCTGAAAGCCTCTCGTTAAGGTTTTGCCGACCCACCAATCCCGGCTGACCTGAGCTGACTAATCCAGCTGAGACTTGTCTTCTTTGTGATTAAGGTAAGCTTTCATTAATTTCGACAAATTTCTTGTTTATGAATCATGGGTTCGGATTAAGAACGTTTGTTATGACTTGGGTGTTTGTTCTTCTGAGGATTTAAAGGTCAAGATTTAAACTTTTTGGATTAATTCATGAGAGCATGAGTTTCTGTTGGATTTTTTTTGAGGTGGACCTGTTTTACCGATTGAATTCTAATTTGGCGTCTGCAAATGGGAATTAAAAAAATTTACCATGTTTTTTGTCGCTATTATCTGCCCGGATTGTTTTATGTTCAATAATTTGTGAAATTATTTTATTTGAGTGCCATTTTTGTTGTTCCGAGATCAATTCATTTGAAGAAATCAAACGATTGGGGAATTTAGTAACTTTTTTGCTGTTAAAGTACCTTTCTTTTTGGTAGTAATTAATTAGTTACTTTTTCTTCAAATTATAAGATAATATGGAAAAGTTGAATTAATTAATTGCAAAAGTGAATTTTAACTAAATTGAAAAACGCGGTTCGACAGCCGTGTGCTCAGAAATTACACGTTTTACTGTTTGTTGGTCTGGGGATGTTGGAGGAGAAATTAGTAGTTAATTAGAGTAGTGGGGCTGTGCTGGTTAGGTTTCACCAGCTGAGTGCTTTTTGTTCTTCGGGTAGAGAAAAGATGTAGAATCCTGATTTATCTATGGCGGAGTTACGTGTTTGGTAGGTGAGTTTTCAGGTTCCGACCTTCCGAGTTTCTAAATAGAGGGGCGAGTTTTGTTGTTGTAGTGGTTTTAAGGATCATATTTTGCTTGTAAGGTATTCAATTTTGTTGTTGTGAGGTGCTGATTGGTGATCAATCTCGCATCTCGTGCCCATAATCTTTCGTTTAAGAACATATTTTGGTTGTGATCAAGCTTCTGGTTTTCTTGGTGTTTGGTTAACATAAACTTATTTCCTATGTGCAGACTTGGTGGTTCTGGTGATTTTTCTTCCAAAGATCTAACAGAGGGGGCGATCAAGTCAAGTTTTAGGAACATAAGGTGAGAATTATTCTCTGGGTTGGGTCAATCATTTCATTTCTTTAGATGAAAACATCTCAGCAACACCGAGGTGTGGCTAGTATCCATCACAAGCTGTACCACCCGCCTGTGCAGCAGATAGATGCCTACGGGTACCAGATTTTGGAAAACAGTGTGTTTCCGGATACTGGTAGCCAAGGAAACAATGTTTCCTTTCAAACCGGCAAGGATGACGAAGAGCAGTTCTTTACCCTGGAATCATCTCCAGCCACTGCCTTTGTAACCTGTGATTCCCCTTCTGCTGTTAGTGGCTTGTCTAACAAGAGTCCATTTTCACCGCAAGGTTCTCACTCGTGCTTGTCTGATCAGCACCATTCGTCTGGCAACAATTATGGATCACCAACAAGTGGGTGCTCCGTAGTTGAGGATGACAACGAGTTCAAGTACAGGCTCAGGGAAGTGGAAGTTTCATTGCTAGGGCCCGACTCGGATATTGTTGACAGCCACTTTTGTTGTCACAAGAGTGGTATGGCAAGGTGGAGCCAGAGTCAAATAGCCACAATGATACCTAAGTTAAACCTAAAAGATGTTCTCTTGTTCTGTGCACACGCGATATCCGAAGACGATTTATACACTGCAACAAGCTGGATGGAAGTTTTGGGGCAAATGGTGTCAGTCTCTGGGGAGCCAATGCAAAGACTGGGGGCTTACATGTTGGAAGGTCTTAGGGCAAAGTTGGAAAGATCAGGGAGTTTAATCTACAAAGCCCTAAAATGTGAAGTTCCTACAAGCTCGCAACTTATGTCATACATGTCTGTCCTCTATGATATCTGCCCATATTGGAAGTTTGCTTACACGTCTGCAAATGTAGTCATTCGGGAAGCGTTGGAGAATGAGCCAAGAATCCACATAATTGATTTTCAGATTGCACAGGGCAGTCAGTGGGTTCCCCTCATCCAAGATCTAGCTCGCCGGCCCGGTGGCCCCCCATGTATCCGGATCACAGGTGTTGATGATACTCAATCAGCCCATGCTCGTGGCGGGGGACTTCATATCGTGGGGGAGAGGCTTTCAAAGCTTGCGGCGTCATGCTATGTGCCATTTGAGTTTAATGCTGCTGCCAGATGTGGTTCTCAGGTTGAACTTCATAATCTCAGGATTCAACCTGGGGAAGCCATAGCGGTTAATTTTCCATACGTGTTGCACCACATGCCCGATGAGAGTGTGAGCACTGAGAATCACAGAGATCGTTTGTTAAGGCTGGTTAAGAGTTTATCGCCCAAAGTTATGACACTTGTGGAACAAGAATCCAACACCAACACTTCCCCATTCTTCTCAAGGTTTCGTGAAATGGTAGATTATTATACAGCAATGTTTGAATCAATTGATGTGGCTCGGCCAAGAGACGACAAACAGAGGATCAACGCAGAGGCGCACTGTGTGGCTAGAGACATCGTGAACATGATTGCTTGTGAAGGGGCCGAGAGGGTGGAACGCCATGAACCTTTCGGGAAGTGGAGGTCAAGGCTAATGATGGATGGATTTACTCCATACCCGCTGAGTCCTAAAGTGACGGAGGCTATCAGGATTCTGTTGAAGGAATTTAACGAGAACTTCAGAATTCAAGAAGCAGACGGGGCTCTCTACCTCGGTTGGAAGCAAAGAGCCATGGTAACGTCTTCCGCATGGAGGTGAACCGGAAGGTGACCGCAAAACACTGTAAAACTTCTGTACTCGTGTTGTTTTATGACGCTTAGAGCATGCAGGACTGATTGTGCAAGTTTTTGTAGGATCTAGATTTTTGAGCTTTCTTGCAAGAGTTACTAGTTTTAGGCACAAACGTGAATCTCGAACTTTGGTGATGTAAAAATGTTGGCCTTGCAAAGAAAGCGAATAGCTCTCACTTTTACTGTAATTTTACCTTTCTTATGCTTTGTTGCATTGCGTTACCTTTTTTGGCTTTTCACCAAACAAAAACTGCCTTAATTTGTCTAAACTATTTGAAGATTGCCTTTTATCCAGTAGGCTTCTAGTTAAACATCGGTATGCAAACTCGGGAGCAGTGCGAGCTCAAGTGAGATGGTAGGCGATTCCCAGCAAAGCTTTTAATCTTCAAAGGGATGAGGCTGCTTATGTGTATTACGAGTTATATGCTCCGCGCTACGAGAAATGTATTAGGGTCACCATGCGTGAGATTGTATTAGGCTCAAGGGATTTCGAGCACTGAATTTTTGAAAATGAGCAACAACATAAGTTATATGCTCCTGCTACGAGAAATGTGATTCAAATTTGAGTATTGAGATGAAACAGCTTTAATTAATTTGACTAAAACCACATTTGCCAATAAATCTATTTTACTTTTAAGAGACGAAATTAAATTAAACAAAACATGAATTAATCATACCGATTACACGGTAAAAGCGATTACACGGTAAAAGCGACCACTTACTTGGTAACTCCCCGGAAAATACGGTTATTAACCCCGCGAAAACCAAAAACATTCTGTAAAAAAATAAAAAGAAAAGAAAAACACCCGCACCGCGATTCGATTCCATAATATAATCAAATGCAGAGGTTGCTGCTTTCTGAATTGTGATCACGGTGAAGGTCCTGGTGATCAATCCCAGTGCTTTCGTCGCACACTTATCAATTTCACTGAAGGTAAATTTTAATTTGTTTAATAGCAAGTTAATTTTAGGTTTATAATTTAATTTTCATTCATATATTATATAATATTATTCGTTTTTCTGTATTGATCCAAGAAAAATTATGGAAATAAAATTGAGGGGTAAAAAATTAATCTGAAAATTTGGTTGTCGCATGGATTTCAGAAAAAGTAGCAAAATTTGCTTGAAGAATTGGGGAGTCCGTTGCCAACGGATTTTGAACAGCAATGGAGGAGTTGTCGTTGGATAGATCGGAGTTGCGCAGAATGCAGAGAGAGCAAGAGCGGGAACGACGGCGCGTAAGGGACAGGGAGAGGAGGCAGTCTATGACCATTGAACAGAGAGAACGACATCTGGCTCGGCGTCGCAGGAACTATCAACTTAGACGACTGAGAGCTGAAAATGCTAAAGCAGGGGATTTCCCGTCACAGCAAATAAGCAACGAACAGGATGCAGCAGGGTCAGAAGGGAACAATGACGTCCGGGAAGTTACTCAGCTCGAAAACCCGACCACGGAACGTCTGCAGTACTCCCAATGTAAGTGTGTTTTTGTAACTGCGTTGCCATTTCGCATATTCAAAGTTACTAACGGTGCGACAGTCATACTAAAAATTTGTCGCATTTAAAATGCGTTACAGGTTTGGAGGCTGCAGCTTCTAGATCGTCTAATTTATCAAAACGGTTGCGTTTGAGTCATATAAGGCGGCTTGCGCGGTCGTTGAATCATTTAGGCGTCGAGGTTATTGGTAATCACCAAATTGTAGCGGACGTGATTCCGAAGGGTGATACCAATGCTTCTTGTAAGTTTGATAGTGTTATGTTAACTGCAATGTAGAATTTTAGTTAGGCAGTAACTTAATTGTTAATGATCTTTAATTTTTAATATCAAATAGGTTTCCGAATTGGCGATTTTGATTCCGGGAGGCTTCCAAATGGACTGCGTTTCAATCGTGTTAAACGTCTTGCACGATCAATAAATTCTTCTACGAATGAGGCTTCTGTTAATGGCCCAAAAGGTACTAAACAAAAAGTAGGTGAAAGTCTGTTAGTCATTCATTTTTCAGTAGCCTAATGCATGTTAGGAACACACTAAATGTTTACTTTGTCCATGTAATTGTTACTGAGTCTTGCACCTCTGGTCCAGTTGAACAGATTCCGTCTGCAGAAGAGATTCGAGCGATTGGTGATGATAAGCCTAAATTTGGACAAAGTATTGATGTTAGAGGAGAAGTAGAAGGACCTAACATGGATGGTAATTCTCAGCTGCATTTTCAATGTGCGTAAATAAAGCAATGGTAGGTATTTTCGTACGCTTTTTTTGTTGTTGTTGTAGTTGATTTTGTACCAGAGAATTCCTCATTGGTGCGGTCAATGAGATTTTGTTGCCCCATTTCAGGATAAACACCCCCTCGTGTACCAACGTCAGGACGTGAACTTTAATCACACACAATAAATGGACTTTACGCAGCTCTTCTCCACAGCTCCACAGATTTTTTAGTGAAGACTAGTAAGTTGGAAACTATTCATCTGTTTTTTCTTCCATTCATGTCTATTGGTACTCTATAAAAGATTAACTTTTTAACTTTAGAAGATAAAATGAACTTTAATTCTCCACAACAAGAACACGGTGTGTAACCTGTGTCTGTTATCGTTGGTCTACATATACAGGATATGTTAGTTCATCGTCAAGTTGTTATTATCTCCTCTCATTACTTAAAATGAAGGGGTCAGTTAAGTGTGACATTAAGATTGATTACCCCTTCTTTAGTCGAATACACACATTTGTCTCAGTCAGCATGAGATAATTAGGCAGTGGACTTGAAGATGCCGGGAGCCATTGATGATCAGCACACAGTAAATAGTGGAGTCGATAGAAATTGAGCCTTGATTTTAGTTGATTGATGGCTTATGGTAATGGTTGATTGTCGTTTGCCATGCAACTCGATTCACGTTTTCACCCTTATCATCCCATTCTAACGCCATTGCCACCGACGGTATGGTTTAACTATTTAGAGTTGTTTAGGAGATCCATGTCCATGGCAATGAACTTCAGAGAGTTTCGAAGCTACATTATTTTTCAGGCTTCCCAGCTTATAGTTTTATGTCTTTTGTTTCATCTTGCTTATAAGGAAAACAAGAAAAAGTAGTGTTAGGAAAAATATGCAGGACTGATCGTTTGTTTTAACTTTTTGTTTATATTTCAAGATTGTATGACAGAGAAAGCTAACAGGATGAGGAAAGCGTGTTGGATTCAGAAAACTTGCTGGCAAGGCTCGCCGATCTCTTCAAACAATTACTCGTAGTCAGAAAATCGACGAGCTAGAGTTACGTTTTGCTGCGCTGCTGCTGGCAGATTTTGATCAGAGGAGGAAGAGAACATATTTCATGAGGGTCTTGAAATAGGACGATACTTGTAGACCGCATTGTCAATGAATTAATTTATACAGATTTACTCATAAGAAGTTCTTTTGGGGGTTTTTATTCTGGTTTCTTGTTGATATTTTGATCAAGTTTTACCGTTCAGTTGTTTTTTAAGGTTACACACCACCATTTGTTCTCTGCCTTCATATATATATTGCCAACTCGTCACGTTTTCACGTTGGGTCAAAGTATGAACAAGGATTTCTCATCTTGCACTGCATGTTTCGGTATTTGAAGTCGATCACATACTACAATCGGCTTAACTTTCCCATATTGCATTGCATGATTGGCTTCGGATACCGCATATGTCATTCCATGTGCGAGAAAGTTTCTCTTAAAAAATGGAGCTCGATTTGACCCAAACCATAGGGATCCCCATAGACTAGTTACTGTGCATGGTTGATCTAAATAGCCGGTTGACGATGCTGTTGTTGAAAAATTTGCACACACTTTTTTTTTATTTTTTTCTGTTGAAAAGCAAAATTTGTAAAAGACTTGTATGTACTTTACGAAAAAGAAGTGCGAAAATCACGTCCTTTTGAATTTTGGTGGAGTTCGTTCCTCTTGGGCTTGATTAACATATGCAGTTATGCACTGGGCTTCGTATCGTTAGGGGCATGTCTCAAATATTCCGGGCCTACGTGCCAAAAACCTTCGGCCCAAACAAATGATAAAACCCTAATTTCGTTTGTCGGCGGCCGTATTAACTATCACTCGTTCCTAGCCACGCGATCACATCGGACGGTGATGATGTTATGTGCTGACATTATAAATATTGTCCCCCTACGGAGAGAAATCATCAGTCTCTCTAATTTTCTGCTATCTAGGGTTTAGCCTTCGCCTCTCTCGCCTTCAGGTCCTAGGGTTTATCAGCAAAAGCTTGCTCGATTTCGTTCAATTTCTTTAGGTCTTTTCGATTTTCCGTTTTTTGTACAAAATTTGGATGCTTTTCATGTGAATTTTGATGCGACGGGGGACATTGATCCGTCCCTAACTGAACGGAGCAGGCAGCCGATGATGCCTGTACATTCCAAAAGTTAACGTCGCATATCGATTGTTCGTCGACGTTGACGGTCCTCCCGGCTTCGGCTGGGAGCTCCTCCGTCGACGGTGGTGTCATATCCTATCGCCTTGTGGAGCGGTGTCACCGCCTTTACCATTTGGGACTGGCCATGAGACCTACATTTTTCCAATTTTTATATGATTTTTAATTTGGCTTGTTTTTAAAATAAAATTGCCGGTGATGAAATCAGTTATAAAACACACCATCTTTCGGGACTGAATGGCTTTTATGCCTTGCTGACTATCTGCAATTCTGAGGCAATTTTCTTCTTTCTCAAAGTTTAATATTTTCTACATTTTTCAATCATCAATTTTTGTTTTTTAATTTTTGCCTGCCTGCAAACTTCCTAAGTTTATTGGAGTGATTTGAAATTGGAGTGATTTGAACAAGTGACTTCCTAAGTTGAGTTGATTGGAGTGACTTTTCATTGAGTGATTGGAATGATTTGAACAAGTGACTTGCTAAGTTCATTGAGGTCGAAAGGCTCTTCTCCCACTCATTCTCTGGCTCTGACCCTCCATCATTCACCACTATCAGTAACATCGTTAACATACCCAGCTCCCAAAATTGCAAAGTAGTTGGGTTTTAACAAAGATTGCAACTTTATTGTTGATTGTCGAAATATTTGGCGTTTAATACATTACTCTATAAGGGTACCTTAGGTTTTTAACAAAACCACCAGAGAACAGAGATTCGATAAACCTGAGAAGCAAAGTGGCCATGGACATTTTCCAGAGATTCGCTTAAATTTCCTCAAGCTTGAAGGATCAAACAAAAAAAGGGAAGCCCATAAAAATGTGAAAAGAAAGAATCAAATTGTCTGAGCTTAAATTTCATCAGCGGCTTCATCTGCAGGAGATGAAGTTAGCAGCCGCAGAAGGAATATATACATTCCTAAGAGTGTAAACTTTCCAATAAAATGTCCTAAAACACATCATCTACTTCCTACTGACTGGAAAAGGTTACTATGCATATGACCCGCACTGAACTTGAGACTCCTTACAACTCTCGCGGCTTCTATGGCTACCTGTCCAGCAACGTAGTGTTGCCGGCAGACAGGCATGTAAACGTCAGCCCCGCCAATCAGTTCAGTTTGCATCTCCTCCGTCTTTCTTAGTGTAAAGAAAGCACGTTTCCCACAAAGTTCGCACCGAGCAGTTAACTTGGTTACAGAATCAGCGAGGGGAACTATATCTAACACAGAACCAAATTTCCTCCTGCCATCAAATTTAGAGTTAGAAGGGAACAACAATCTCCGATTGACAAACAAAAACTGGTCATTGCAAAGCCGCAACCGAACCTCAATTGGTGGACAATTCGAATTATTACCTTAAATAGTCACCATCTAGTCCGGCGACTATTACTTTTTTACCATCACGATCAGCAGCTTCAGAGCAGAAATCATAGAGGTCTTCAAAGAACTGAGCTTCATCGATACCAATCACGTCTAGCTGTCACCGCGTATTCTTTATGAGTAGATAACATGAATGATACATGGCAAAAAGATGTTACCTAGATGACATGAATTGCTTATCAATCAAATGCCGGCGCTAAGATACCTGATCGTATGCCTCAGGGCTAAACTTTTGTTTGAACGAGGATAGATCTTTTAAAGGCCAGCATGGGAACTTGACCCCGTCATGCGTCACAATTGAATCCAATCCATATCTTGTATCCTTGATCGATTTGATTATAGCAACATTTCTGGCAAAAGGTTAAACAAAGGAATTAATGACTGATACGCAGAAACTAATCAATGATATGTAATATTTTTCGAGCAAAGGTTTGGAATGATCAGCCCTCTGATTACAAAGAAATCAGAAACCATTACATCGCAAGAAAATCCGAGCAGACACTTGGAACTTGCAAGTAGATAGATAATGTACAATATCATCAGTCCAGCATTGCAAAACTTCAATAGGGTGAAAGACTTATTGGGAAGTTGACCGTGATAATACTTGGCCCATAGATTCTCCCCTTGGATGTGCTGTGCATACCAACAATCATGAAATTCCACCAAAATTTCACAGAGCTCCAAGATTGCAGAGATCAACTTATCACCACCGTATATAACATCAACTCTCAGCTTCTAGTCATTAAGCTGAAGATTTATGAAACTATTTACTACAAACTTGGCGGATACATTATGCGTCATACCATCTACGTCTGTGCAGTTTCCTTCTTCTCACTGAGAACCTAAAGGACAAGAGCCAGAAGACACTCGCAAGTTTCATGTATCAGTGCCCTGCATGGGGCTCATGTACTGAAATCTGAATATAAACAATGTTCTCTCTCTTTCATGCTTTTCAACTTCCTAAAAAGTGCAATTTCTATAACTTTTGACACTGTTCAAATAACTTTGTGTGAGAACATCACTGCATAATCAATTGATCTTTCAGACAAGACCAAGAATACATCTCAATCATTGATTCATGAAGCTCTTATATATCAAGTTCTTCATACGACAAGAAAACGAGAGATTCCTAGGAAATGAGCTCTTTTCCTTAACATGAATTAGCTTCCCCTTACTGAGAAGCATAGGCTGAATTGTTTAGAGAAAAATCAACCAATTTAACCATTTCATAAATCTGTTTGGATTGTTTGTGATATGTATCACCCTTAAGAAAGAAATGGACCTCCTTTTGAACCTCTATTTTGCTATAAGCGGGCTCCTTTACTATCCCTGATTCCTTCATCATATTCCTAACCTCAGCAACATTATCCCACAACCCAAAAGTGGCATAAGCATTTGACAAGACCACATACTTCCCAGCATTCTCTGGTTCCAATGTGAAGTACTTCTTTGCTGCAAGCTTTAACAAGTCCCTATCTCCATGAATTCTACAAGCCCAAAGAAAAGCACCCCATATCACTGAGTGCTCCTTATAAGGTGAGTTTGAAACAAACTCATAGGCTTCTTCTAACCGCCCAACACGTCCTAAAACGTCTACGAAGGCTGCATAATGTTGTGCTCTTGGCCGAATTCCATAATCTCTTGTCATGGAAGAAAAGTATTCCCAAGCCTCGTCAACTAAAGCTCCATGACCGCAAGCAGAAAGAACTGAGATAAAAGTAACATAGTTTGGCCTGAAACCTTCACTCTTCATCCTATGAAAAAGATTTAAGACCTCTACAACTCTTCCATGCTGACCATACCCAGATATCAAAGCAGTCCAGGTAATGGCATTCCTGTTTTGAGATGTATCAAATACCCTATGCCCGTCAGATATATCACTACATTTAAAGTACATATCCATGAGGGCACTACTGACTACAACATTTTGTCCAATTTGGCACTTTATCATGACGCCATGAGCTTGCTTCCCATGCTCCAGTGTTGCTAAAGATGCACACGCTCTGAAGACCGATGCAAAGGTATACTGGTCTGGGATCAAACCCCTCTGTCTCATCTTGTTATAAAGACTCAACCCCACATCTTCAAGCCCCTTTTGCACATACCCTGCAATTATTGCGTTCCATGAAACCAAGCTTTTCTCAAGCAACATATCAAGCAGAATGTGGGCAGTCCTTAAATCCCCTGATTTTGCATACAAAATCAACAACTTGGTCTTCAAATATTCATTGAGAACAAATCCCACAACAATCATATGTGCATGGATTCTTTTCCCCTTCTTATACTCTTTCCTAAATATGCATTCTTGCAATAGAAGAGCATAGGTGGCGGGGTTGAACTCTAACCCTGTGCGGCACAATAGCGCAACAGCTTCTACCAATCTTCCTGAATAGCAGAGTCCCTTGAGTGTTTTATCCAGTTGGATGTGCTTTGGAGGCTTGACCTGAAAGCTGGAATATCTTACTGGTGATATATGTACTCCAATGAATAGACCCGAGACAACAGTACAAGACACAGAAACTGAATGTTCACCCCCGTTACATGACCACCCGAACATTCAAAATCTTAATACCCACTCAAATACTCTCTTCAGCAGCACAAACGAAATTTCATGTCTTCATTTATATTAAACATAAATTTTCAAACTTCAAAACTAAAAGATGCAACAGAATAAGTGGGGGAGTCACACCTGCCATCGCCTCTCTCGGACTGAACTTCACGAAGAAGCGTGGTGGTCTTTCCGGCGAACATGGGGCCGACGATGACGTGAGTCTCACCGGAGCGTTGGTGAGATTCTGCCTCCATTTGCACACATCGGATGTTCTGAGCTGAATAAATGGTGCTTTTGGGGAGAAAAATATTGGGTTTTGGGAGGAGAATATTGGGGTTCTGGGAAAGAGTAGGAGGGCTGAAGGAAAAGGACTTGGAGGAGGAGGAGGAGGAGGAGGCTAAAGATAAAGGTGTGATCTTTGAGATGTGAGGGACGGAGGAGATGAGGAGGGCCTTCATTCTTGATCTTGAAATACCTAACATCTCCTTTGCTCTTTGACCTCTGTCTTTGGGGGAGAGAGCAAGAGGGTTTAAGGGTTTTGCTTATATCAATTTTATTCGAGAAAAAAAGAAACTGCGGCACTGCGACTGCCGGAAGACATTATTTGGAGAGCAGGGAACCTATAAAGTGCGTGGATCCATGGCAAATTTGTCATATTATCGTTTTGGCCATTCGGTTGGAGATGATTTTTTATCAAAAGACTATGTTTTGCCTATGACTATTTAGCCTTCATGGTATAAAATATGTGTGGTACTGTTCATTAAAATATAATTTATTGCAGAATTATAGGATTAAAAGGAGCCATTTGGCCCTCATTCAGTTGTAGATGGTCTTACCTTTCTTGGGGGACAAACTTAGGCTGATTCTCTTTTACCTCTATGGTTGATGACTAATTTTGTCAATTGCAGAGCTAAATGTGCACTCAAAGCTTTTCCCATTCAAACACAAACTCTAGATACCCAAACCAAATTTTGGATTAGAGATTTAGGTTGATTGGGTTCATTAGAAGTCATCTCCTTCCTAGAAACATTTGGATTAGATATTCAGGGATGAGTTTTGACTCGGTTTAACAGAAACATAGAATGAAAATAAAAGATTAGTAAATCCAATAGCTGAAGGCACATTTTCTTTTAGGTGATGCATAGCATGAGCTCTTCCTTGTACTTCCTCTTTGACCTCTTTTTAACTCCCTTATCCCTTTCGTTAGGATAGGGGAGTTCTAAGGAACTTCAATCATTTTGGAGATCTAATAGTTGGTCGGGAAAAAGATAGTTGTAGAAGACCTGGACTGCACTGAAAACACCTTGAAGAGCATAATTCATGGACTTGATACGGTAAGTACATCATGCCTTCACATAAGAAACTAATATGAAATCCTTGAATATCATTAGCATATGAAACCCGCAGTATGTGCCAATCCATGACATAATTCCAAGAGATCATTGGAATAAGGCACCAATAGAACACTATAATTGTTGTTCCGTGCTCCGAATCAAAAAGGTGTAATCCTAAATTTGCACCAGAGGCAGTCTGCATCACCAATCTCTACTTACAAAATCTACTTCAAAGTGTCTAGTATTGCAAAGAGATGTATTTTTTTTCGCAAACGTTCACTGCTCAAGCATCACCAGCCCTCCTTCAACATTCGTTCCTTCTCTAGGATGAACATTCCTTCTTTATACTTTTCACTAGGTTCATAAGCCTTCTCCTGCAAGTATGATCATCAATACATGGAGGTGGACAATGAAAAGCAGTTAGTTTAAACCAGAGCATTAACTTCATAAGAGACTGCTAAACATAAAGATTGGGCCACATGATCAGAAAGTACAACTTGATTATTTAGACAATACTTAAAAGCCCTGACCACCCCCACGGTGAGGGCCTCACCAGGAACTAAACTGAAATCTAAAGTTTTGAATAAATGGGGGCAGTTTCATTAAGTAAATCACGGATCCTACTAATCTAACAGCAACTGATCAGTTTAAAATTCATGCTTAGAGCATGGAGAGGGAGGGCGCATGAATAAGGCCCAACTGCAGCATCACTAAGCCAAAGATGCTAATTTAGTAGGAGTATATCAACCCCCAGTATATTTTCCAACTCTCAGACATCAGCCATACTCACTTGACTTGTGAGAGTGTTGAAAAGCATAGCATTTCTCAAATGGGTGGTGCTATCCACACACCTATTTTTACCTCTCACACACCCCTCTCAATTTTCGGCTGATGGATCGAATGAATTGAAAAAGATCAATGGCCAAAAAAGGCAAAAAGGGGTGCGTGAATAGTACTACCGTTTTCAATTACATTGAATATAAGTAGACATGGGTATATATCATGCTTGTGATTCTATCCTTCCATTAAGTTCTACTATTCATGCATTATCATGTAACGAAACTTAAAAAGCGCGAGAAGTTTATAACTTACATATTTCCAACCCAGAATTTGTAGGCAAGAGCTACAATGTATGTCATTCACCGTATGCAATCCGCTCGTGAGTTGCCGCTCTTCAATAGGCCCAAGAGATATATTTACCCTGAAAAAACAAATGATCAACGACCACAAGAAAACTAAGAAATTTTCCTTTGTTCGTATCAAAAGCATTAAGCCCAAATCATATCATACCACAAACTTAACCACTTTGGTAAGAAGGAGCACATCAATTCGACATTTTCACGCACACGATTTTAACCACCAAATTACTCAAATTATGAAAAAACATTTATGCAATTGGTTCCTTGTGAAAATCGTCAATTGTGGATGCTTTAATTCAAGAAACAAGAATTTGAAACGAAATATAAAAAAAAAAAAACCCTAGAGTGATATTACAGGAAATGAGGGTTTGAATTTGGGGGCTTACACATTTCTGAAGAGATAGGCTCTGCCATGGCGGCCCTGAAAATCCTTGGAAACGATGTCGTCATGGGACGCGAAGTCCACCTTGCAACACCTGCACTTGAAGATCCTGGGCCCACTCAGCGTCTCTATGAACAGCCGCCCCATGCTTATTTGAATGAATTTTTCTATTCTGATATTACGGAGTGAACCCTAATTTCCAAATTGATTGCACAATCAAACACACAAACAGAATATATTTGATCCGTTTACGTCGGCGAAAATGAGTAAATTGGTGTTTGTCGGGTTCGGAAGTGAAAACTAGATGGACCGGGTACGCCGTAATACGGGGGCATTTATGTCATCGAACGTTTTTCATGACGGGCTGTGGGGCCTGGGATCATGGGATGGGATGGTTTCCTTCAATCCGATTTTTTTTGAGTCCACCCAAAAACATCATGTCAACTGATATCATCGACTGGTAGTTAGGAGGACAATACGATTTTTGCCTCCAATTTGGACGGACCATGGCGGTAGTGATCCTAATCAATTACGTAATAGACTTGACATATCACCACCAAACTTACTAGTATGCGGATTTCGACCGTTAGATCGTTTGTCAACCAAAATTTTCATGTGTAAAATACGCCCAAGCATATTATGCCACCAGCCTTATTTGACTGCAATATTTCCAAAAGATGAAAAAGAAGTATATCAATGGTTGCTCTTATTATAATATCGAGTCACAAGAAAAAACAGACATTAAAATTTAGGGGTCAAAAGGTGTTTAGGATCGGATTGAATAACTCATAATAGTCAGGGTATGTTAAAGGAAGTGAATGATTTTTTCTTTTGAGGGGAACTCCATACCTGCGGGCAGTGAATTATCCAACCCAATTCAATTCTAGGCACCAAACGAGCTTTTAAGGGCAAGAAAACAAACCAAGGCAAGCCAAATGGAGAGGAACAACATCTTATCTTGAAAATAAAGAACCAATAAATGAAAAAAACAAAGAAACTGGCTAAGTACAGTGCATCGAATACTGAATTTTGAACAATGTATAAGCTTTTCTAATCCACCTTCAGGTCATTTACATCTTCTACCTCAATTTCTTATCTTCAACTGATTGAGTGAAAACATGTTTCTTGAATGAACATTTAAACAAATTCAAGAAATTAGATCACATGGAGAAGGAACACAAGGAACATTAGTGGGAACCAAAAAAAAAAAGAGAGAAGAGGCTTGTCGGGACCTGCCAAAAAGATCCATCCACACCTCATGTGTTGTGTATCCCTAAGATGAACAGCACCCACCTTTTTTAGGCTCTGCTGCAGCTGCTTCTTGGCTCCCGTCTTGTAAAACCACCGTCTTCCCATTCCCTACCCAACTGGGGTCCTGTTTCTTGAGCTCCTGAGATATCATAACTTTGCGGCTTAGTATGTTATAGATCTCTTTCACAACCATCTGAAAAGCGGCAGAGACATTGGACGAATCTAGAGCAGATGTTTCCATGAAAAACAAACCCTGTGCTTCTGCCAAGGCTTTGCCCTCAGAAGTGGGTACCTCCCTGGCATCCTTGAGATCGGACTTGTTGCCAACAAGTATCGTAACTACATTCATGTCAGAGTGAGCTGTTCAACAGTATATCCACCTGATCAATCCTCGGTTCATCACATTAATTAAGTACAAATGCAAGAAATCTTTTGAATCCACAGGGGTGCAGGAAGAACAGATTGACTATTGAATCAATATTAAAAGCCACTACATCATTTAAAATTGTCCACTAAAGAGCATTTGACAAAGAATGTAAAAGTGTAAAATATAGTTTGAACGCATAAAAAGGATATTGTCAGCAGATGCCCATAAACGGTGAGGATGAAACATTCATCATCTATTTTTGTAAAGAAAGTCATTACTTCTCTAACCAAATCCCTACAGCATAAAGTGTCTCCATCATTTCCTCTAAAAATTTAAACATTTTAAAGGCTAACAATTCATACATACCATACATTAGCATGTGCGATTCTTAATTGAGATTATTTATAAGGCAAGCCAAATATTGCATGATGTTGACAAAAAGTCTCCACTTGTTCAAGAAAACAGCCCCAGAAGAAAAACATATTTGAAAGAAAGATTATAAGTAAAAATAGAGATACCGTCAAAGAACTTACTGTGGAGTTCGTTAAGCCATCTGCCAATACTATCAAATGTCTGGCGTCTACTGATATCATATACCAGAAGAGCACCAACAGCACCTCTGTAATATGCGGATGTGACAGCCCTGAACCGCTCTTGACCAGCTGTGTCCCATATCTGTGCTTTGACCTCTTTACCATTGATATCTATCTTTTGGGTTTGGAACTCTACTCCTATAGTTGACTTCGAATTAGGGTAGAACTCATCTCTAGCAAATCTTGCGAGCAAATTGGATTTTCCAACGGCTGAATCACCAATTAAAACAATCTTGAATAGATAATCCTCGGTCTTTTCCTCTTCCGAATGAAAAGCCATTGCCCAAACTCCACAGATTTGTTACACTAATGAACCATTTTAATAATTAGTAGCCAGGGTCGATCTTTAAGGGACTAATAACCTACAAAATATCTACTTTTCCCTGTTCAAATGATTCTTTGTACAAAAGGAAAAACAGTTGGCTGGTGAAATGTGTAAGGCAGGGAAGGTATATAATGGAAAAAGGCTTTTCAGCAATACAGAATCTGAGACTGCCTTACAAAGCTAAGGTAGGATTACAGATAGTGGCCTCTAAGCCTCCTCTTAGATGCTTTCTACATATGTAAATCTATCTGGAAAGCTTTCTCCTTTTCAAATTACAATCTAGCCTTACAAAAAAAGTGCCAAATCCTGCAGCATCAAGAAAGCATCAGGAATTACAGACTTCTAACAATGAACTGGATTTGAAATGTTAGAGGCAAGTTATTCCACCGTAACGATTATTACAAATGTCTTTGAGACTGCAACCTACATATGTACGCATTCTCCAAAGAATTTTACCCTCACACAGCTAAAAGTAATACCTCAATGTCTTCTTTGACGTTAATTTTGGCCTCCTCCCACTCCAGCTTTCCCTCTGAAGCCTAGAAATCAATGTCAATGGTTTACCTTATTCAGTTATTCTTATAAAAGAACGCACCATGAAGCAAGGCAATGATGATGAAACAACATGAAATTTGACATTTCAAGAAGCCCCCAATGCAAAACATTATCGTGTGATCAAACATAAAGGTCCACATAACTGCACTATTCAGAATATCAACTTTATAATTGCCATTAAACACTAAAAGACCCAACTCATGAAGTAAATTACTTAGTACCATTACGTTAATCTTCAAAGTCAATTATATAAAATGGGGACTCCAATTAAAACCACACTGATCAACTACTTTCTGAGCAAGCTAAACCGAATGATCTGATCCCTATTCGCTCGAAAAAAATCCTAAGTTCAGAGGGGCAATTTTACACTATTTTTTACTTTTGGGGTAAGAATAAAGATTCACAATTTAACAAACAGCATGATCACTGTATAACTGAGACCCAATATTCGAATACAGGTGAAAAGTCAAAGGAGGTAAAAAAAATCATAGCTTTGACTGATTGAATCTCTATTAAAAATTTACCCAATTGAATATCATACTGTGGCAGCCTAAAAAGCAGAAACCCAGTAACAATCACTTGTCATATACACCAAGCAGGTCCAAAATTCAATTGAAAAATAATAACTTGTACAGTACATTATTACATTTGTTGGTAATAATATGCACGAAACAGAGAAAAATTGAATTTAAAATCCAGAAATTACCAGATTGCGGGGTCAGCAATGGATCAATAGCTTGGACGTATCCAGAACTGCAACAATCCATAAAAATACTTTTCACTATCAACCCGTTACGCAAAACAATCCAAATGATAAATCAATGAATCGAAAATTTCAAAAATGCACGAAATCGAAAGTTGGAGATCCAAACGAGCCGCGTAAGGAATACAAATCCAAAATGTACAAGGTTGAGAGAGCGAGAGAGAGGGGGAGTGACCGTGGATGGTGTGATGGAGGGCAATAAGCGGTGGATATCGGCGGTGAACGGCGGTGATAGGAGGGGGGACGCAAAGCGGAGAGAGGTGAGAGGACGAAGGGGCACAGAGAGAGCGTCAGAAGCACACATCGGACAAATAAGAGGGGGAGGAGGACGATGATATCTAAGGTAATTTCGCAATATGAATAAAAAGATGAGGGCTTTTCGTCTAAGCGTTGGAGTTCAACCTGAAAAGTTGAAAACAGAAACGGTAAAACAGTTAAATAGTTCAATGCTGGGCCAAGATAAAAAGTAATTTGGATTGAGGCCCAATCTGCAGACTGAACTACTGAGCGTCTACAGTGAGGGGGTGTTGGGTAAGAAGTTTCATCACAATAATCTACTCTTCTGGGATCGATAAATTTACCATTTCAATCTTTCTTGGTCACCATCATGTAATTCACAAAGCATCAGGGATCGAACCTAAGACGTGTGTGAAATACGAGCATGTAAATCGTCTCCAACTACTGGACTAGCTCGTGATGATTTACCGACTCATGTATCTGATAAATAGAAAAATATGTCCACCTCAAGCACATCAAAATTCGTTGGGGCTTGTCACTACATTAAAGATGCATATATTAAATTGATATAAAATTTGTGTTAACGTCTGGTCGAATTTAAACGGACTATATGTTGAAGTTGGGCTAGCCTAACTCTCCACCTCTAGGAAAGAAAATTACTTTGGTCATATTTGCAGTTGTGAATCCAATGCTACATGGCACTCAATTTTACGAGTGTTGTGGTTGTAATTTATCGAAATGTATAAGTGGTACAAACTATACCGCATCAAATGTTAGCAAACGTAGCTTCTTGTTAAAATGGACTTGCCATGTAAACTTGACAATTCTAAGGAATGTCAACCAAACCACACTATCGATTCGGTATGGTGGGTCTTGACTCTTGAGAGCTAGCTAGGTACTCCTGCCTTTTGTTTTTTTTGGTTCTTGGCAACTTCTTTTTACAAATCTTGCGCGTACTGCACGATCGTAATGATATATTCTATGAGGATTGGCCAACGTTTACGTGCGGGTCTTGTTGGAAGTTCTTGGTAACGTATGGTTAGATTATTTTTTATCCTAAAAGTAGACCAGCACAGTTTATCTTTTTGAGGTTTGGGAAGATTCATACGGAAATTTCAACTTGTTTAGTTATTATCGTATGATTTACCAACTGAATGAATTAAACCTAGGATATACTATGTATAATACGGGCATGAAATTCACTCCTCCAATACTAAGTCCTTTCGTGATGGTTCTTGGGGTAGTTATTGGTTCTGCATGCATGGTTAGATTATTATTATTATTATTTTATATATATAAGTTAAAAAAAAATATAAAAGAAGACTATTTGGTGTCTTTGTCATAGAAGTTCATCATTTTGAGGTTCAAAAAGGTTCACAAGTCATTTCAACTCCTCATAGCCACACCAGCACCGAAAAATCAAACCCAGAACATTTCTATAATCAATAATAAGTTGGGAATAAGTCTTTATCCGAACTTTAATGCTTTATACTAATGTCCAAATATACGATAGTGCCTTCCTTTTCTTTATTTGCGACATATATAGTATTAGTTGATATACTTTGTATACATATGTATAGAGTGAAGATTCAAAACACATTTTTAACACATATGTTTGTGAATTCTAATTTGTGAGCTATATTAAAAATCCAACCGTATACTTTTTTTATCTTAATAACCTTTTACACCTGATGTCGTGTTATGAGTCCTTGTTTGTATTGAAAAAAACAAAAATTTCTTTCATTCTTTCTTTGTTTCAAATTAAATCGCCTTAAATTTTGACTCACCATTTTTGTGCTGGAATTATGTTGACGACTTTGTACTGGAAATGTATTAGAGAGACTAAACTTTTAGATAAAATTTATATTAAAAAAATAAACACGTTTATTAACTGTTAAGTAATAATTCGATCATTAACTTGTATATTATTTAGTTTACAAAATTCTATCTAAAAATTTAATCCCTTATCATTATCATGTTCTTTTTTCCCTTATCCATTTGGAATCCTTTCCTAGTAGTTACTCTCACCAATCCCCACACTCACTCTTCCTTAAATGTCTTATGTTCTATTTGCATAAAACTCTCAACAATCGAAACAAATAAAGGAATAATTTACAAAATTATTTTATTTCAGATACGTTTTTGGACGAATTTATTTCATTTAGAACAAAACCAAATTCTTAGATTTGCATTATCAAACAAAATACAGGTCAATCTAGCGGCGGTGGACCATTGGATTAAAACATAGTCATCAAAATTCAAAAGTAGCCGGCAGAAGGAAGAACAAACTGGAAGAGCTCCACCGTAAGGCATACTCATACTAATACGGTAAAAGTTTCCACCACTGCCGTTTTCTTCTTCCGTTGTTGTTATTTGCTTGTGTGTTGAAGAACCACCAAAGGATTTGTATTTGGATTGAACATGTTTTGTTTCCTCGGTTTGTTTTATGGTATTAATTCGCTGCAAGAAAATTCAAAGGATTTGCTGGTGATTGAAAATGTTGTGCGTTTCAGGGTTAGGATTAGTAGGAAGAAGGAGTGAATGATATGGAGGGAGGACACCCGCCTGCTAGCAAGACAGAGTTCACAGAGTGTTGGAGGACAACATGGAAGACGCCTTACATAATGCGTCTTGCTCTCTCTGCTGGCATTGGAGGCCTCCTTTTCGGATACGATACAGGTACATTAAATCATACATAGCACTGTTAAAACCAGAAATTACTTTAAATAATTCAAGGGACAAATTCATATGCACGATTGCAATTTGTTAATTTTCTTGCGTCTGTTGTTGTGAGTACTTTAGGTGTGATTTCTGGTGCATTACTCTACATTCGCGAGGACTTTCACGAAGTTGACAAGAAAACATGGCTGCAAGTGAGTTACTCAACATTTCTCTCCTCATGTTAATTACTAATTAGTCTGGTTAATTAAGCTCATATTTATATGTATGTCAGCTAAATTTTTGGTATGTTTCATTGACATTGATGTGCAGGAAACCATAGTGAGTATGGCAGTTGCAGGGGCAATCATTGGTGCTGCAATTGGCGGATGGATGAACGATGCCCTAGGCCGGAAAAAATCAATCCTAGCAGCAGATTTTGTGTTCTTCATTGGAGCAATAGTAATGGCTGTTGCACCAGCTCCGTGGGTGATCATAATTGGGAGAATTCTGGTCGGTTTGGGAGTTGGAATGGCTTCCATGACCTCGCCTCTCTACATCTCAGAAGCCTCTCCTGCTAGAATCCGAGGAGCCCTTGTCAGTACAAATGGTTTTCTTATCACTGGAGGACAGTTCTTGTCATACCTTATCAATCTTGCTTTCACTAAGGTACCAACTAATACATTTGAGGCTTTAGTTCAATATCATTTCAAGGTTTCAATTACCTTATATCCAAATTTCGACGTAATGATTTGTTGTACATTAACTTGCTTCAGGCTCCAGGGACCTGGCGTTGGATGCTCGGCGTAGCAGGAGTTCCGGCTTTGGTACAATTTGTATTGATGTTGTCACTCCCAGAGTCTCCCAGATGGCTCTACAGAGAGGTGATCTATAATCAAAGTCTTGCGTCCGTGTTTTTTGCGGATCATGGTCATAGTTACTCCAACATGTTGAAATTTTTACATCCATTAGTTTTTTGTACGATCATTCAATTTCCGTGACATATATAAATACCATACTTAGCATTTAATTTTTCTGCTAACCAGAATAAGGCAGATGAGGCTAGGGCCATCTTAGAGAAAATTTATCCTGCCGAAGAAGTTGAGCGTGAAATGCAAGCCTTGCATGAATCCGTCCAAGCTGAAAAGGCCGAGGAGGGAGCTGCTGGAGAAGGTGTGCTAGCAAGGTTAAAGGGTGCCCTCAACAACCCTGTTGTCCGAAGAGGACTCTATGCAGGCATCACTGTCCAAGTGGCTCAACAGTTTGTCGGTATCAACACTGTCATGTACTACAGCCCAACTATTGTTCAGTTTGCTGGGTTTGCATCCAACCAGACTGCGTTGGCACTCTCTCTGATCACTTCAGGACTCAACGTGGTTGGCACTGTCATCAGCATGTGCTTCATAGATAGATACGGAAGGAGAAGGCTGATGATTATCTCCATGATTGGGATCATCACTTGCCTGGTGGTGTTATCCGGGGTGTTTTTCCAGGCAGCATCTCATGCTCCACGCATTAGTAACTTGGAATCTACACATTTCGGTAGCAATTCTACATGTTCAGCTTATGTTTCTGCTCCTAATCCTGGATCATGGAACTGCATGACATGTTTGAAAGCAGAGTGTGCATTCTGTGCTAATAAAGTCAATGTAAGTACACCTCATTTACTTTGAGGAAATGATATCCACACGCACTTTTTTTTCCATCTGTACACACATGTTTATTTATGTCCGTCATGCAGGGGAAGATGTGCGGAGTTCACTTCCCTCTCCTCCCTTCCTGATTTCCTTGTCGTATAATTGTAAGAGTGACCTTATAAATTTACTTTGTTTTCTCTGTTGTTACAACTGTCAGTTTGCCCCGGGCGCTTGTTTGGCTTCCAATGACGAAATCAGGAGCTCATGTCGGGGAGAACATCGTGTGTGGTACACCAAAGGTTGTCCAAGCAAAGTCGGATTCTTTGCGGTGATCCTGTTGGGATTGTACATAATTGTCTATGCACCTGGAATGGGAACTGTGCCGTGGATCGTAAACTCGGAGATATACCCTCTGAAATACAGAGGGACATGTGGAGGAATTGCTGCAGTTGCGAATTGGAGTGCCAATCTCATTGTGAGTGAGACTTTTTTGACCTTGACTCATGCTCTAGGTTCTGCCGGCACGTTCCTCCTCTTTGCCGGGTTTTCGGTCATTGGACTCGTAGCGATTTACATGCTAGTTCCTGAAACGAAAGGAATGCAGTTTGAGGAGGTTGAGAAGTTGCTTCAGAAAGGGTTTAGGCCCAAACCATTTGCTCCAAGGAGCAAGGAAGTTGCCAAAAATGTTGAACTTTCTTGAGTTTCTTATATGAATTCTGAAACTAGTGGGTGTTCTAAAGAGACATATTTTAGTTACAAGTCAGTCTGTACAAGTCTTTGCAGATTTTTGTTTTCTTATTTTTTATTTTTGTTCTTATCAGCTCCAAGTAATTCATATAATTCGTGATTAGACAATAAGCATGTTTGCAAAAGGAAAATTTTCACTTGACACAGAATCTATTAAATTTTATTGGTTGTGTCTTACTCACTAGAGTCAAGATGGCCGAGTTGGTCTAAGGCGCCAGTTTCAGGTACTGGTCCGAAAGGGCATGGGTTCGAATCCCATTCTTGACACATATTTATCCTTTTTTTTTTAAATTCCTTTTTTTGAAATTTAAAAATCTTTATAAAGCTGCTATTCTTCGTGCCTGTTTTTGCAAATTCCATCTCGAGTTGGTACATCAGGTTTGTTCACTTATTTTTGCAAATTCCTACTCGAGTTTGTATTTGTTCTTAGTTTGTACATGGCAAATGTGTGAGCACATGGGTACGACCTTTTATATATATTAATGAGTGAGCACATGGCAAATGTGTTCTAAATACAGGATGTTCAAGTGCTTTCGCCCATGAGCGGTAGGTCTCGGGTTCGAGACTTGGGAGCAGCCTCTCTATAAATGGGGGTAAGGCTAGCCGACATTCACCTCTCCCAGACCCTGCGTAAAGCGGGAGCCTTGTGCACTGGGTACGACCTTTTTTTTTTTTTTTTTTTTTGTACATCAGGAGCATCTTACTGCCAAAAAAATACATGTTTGTATGATTTAGGTTTGCTGCATGCGTCTGCATATATATTATTTATCAAAACTACGTGGCCATCTTATATAATTAACAGATGGAATGCATATAGAAATGAAACATATAAACCAGTAAATGCAGTAGGTATAGTGATGCAATGGATAAAAAAAGAAGAAAATGGTCAAGGAGGAGCCCCACCTTCTAGTAAAACTGAGTTCACAGAGTGTTGGAGGACAACATGGAGGACGCCGGACATTATGCACCTCGCGCTCTCTGCTGTCATCGGAGGCCTCCTTTTTGGATATGATACAGGTAACTAATAGTATCTTAACACGAACAATTAATTTATTCAAAGGACTAATTTTCTTTGGTGCTAATTAATTGTATGTTTTGTTGGTGGTGGTGTGGTGCTGCATGTGTGATCTCCGGGCCATTGCCATACATTCGGAGGACTTTTGCGAAGTTGGCAAGAAACATGGCTGCAGGAGACCATAGTGAGCATGGTAGTTGCTGCGCCATCATTGAAGCTGCTGTTGGTGAATGGATGAACGTCACACTTGGCGGGAAAAAGTCAATCCTAATCACGGACGTGGTGTTCTTCGTTAGGGAAATAGTTATGGGCGCAGCTCCAGCTAAGTGGATGATCGCAATTGGGAGAACTGTAGTTGGTTTGGGAGTTGGAATGGCTTCTATGACCGCACCCCTCTACATATTAGAGTCAGGGGCTTCTCCTCAGAAAATCAGAGGAGCTCTTGTTAGCAGCAATGGTATGTTATGTACGAGAGGACAATTCTTGTCAGACCTTATCAGTGTCACCTTCACCAAGCTCAAGGAACCTGGCGTTGGATGCTTGGAGTCGCCGGAGTTCTAGCCCTTGTTCAATTCATATTGATGTTGTCACTTCCAGAGTCTCTAAGATGGCTTTATATAGAGGTGATATTATCATAATAGCTAGCTTGTATGTAACACAATTGCTATTAGTGACGTAAATGCTTATATTGTCAGATTGTGAATCTACATGCACCGACTCAATAACAGACGACACCAATCAAATGTTCAAATTCAAAGTCTAACATAAGATCTTACGACGGAAAGTGTCGCATATAACTTGGTATTGATGTTGCTTATGTTAAACAGAACATGTCGTGGAGAACACAGGACATGGTACAGCAAAGGTTGCCCTAGTAAAATTGGAATATTTGCAGTGATACTATGGGGATTGTACATTACAATGTATGCGCCCTGAATGGGAACCGTACCATGGATCATGAGCTTGAAGATATACCCGCTGAGATACAGAGGGACTGGCGGAGGAGTCGCTCCAGTTTCAAACTAGCCAATCTCATAGTTACTGAAGCATACTTGACATTCACAAAAGCGCTGGGTTCGGCTGGAACATTTCTCCTCTTTGCCGGGTTTTCTCTCATTGGACTCATATTTATTTACTTCCTAGTCCCTGAAACCAAAGGAATGCGGTTTGAAGAGGTTGAGAAGTTGCTGCAGAAAGGCTTCAGACCCAAGCTATTTGCTCCCAAGGACACCAAGGCAAAGCTAAACTTGAGGAATAATATGTCTAGATCGTGTTAAGTTTAAGACATTTGCTGAGGAATTACTTTGGAATGACCATATTTCAGATCCTTACACTTTGATGGCGCATTGTGTGATAATTGATACGTATATGTCACGTTATCTCCTTAATAATATGGCCCATCATGTTTTAGTTTCCTATAGTTTCCATTTGTTAGTATTTATAGATTGAAAAAGCACCTGTAACTGCTTTCTAAAATACCAATATATGCTTTTCCATATATCCTTCCAAGTATTTATTAAAATTTCAACGTCTTTAATCGCAATTATGAGCACAAGGACTTTCTATAGAAGCATTCACATCCTCTCCCTTCATTATACCCTATGCTCTTACACAATCAAACTTTATCCCATTAAGTGAATTTCGCTGTATGAATCATAAAACGCTATTGTGCTCGATTTTGTGTCAAGTCTTTCATTAGCTCAAGTACTTTATATCTTTTCTTAAAGTATCTTTCTAAGTATTCATAGGTCTTCATCTACCATTTTTACCCTAACCCTCAGTCCTATAGTCGAATTTTCTAACCGGAGCATCTGTAGATCTTGAGTTGTATCCAAACCACTTTAATCGAGTTTCTCTCATCTTATCTTCATTGTGATCACTCTTACTTTACTTCGGATATCTTCTATCTTAATCTATCTTTTTCGTATGTCCACACATCCAACGCTCTTATTCTCCCACTGTCGACAAAAATCCATTGTTTTTTTGCAAAGGGTGAAACCATGACCTAAGGTAGCAATATTCCATACAAATCAAGCACTCTTGTAAGATAAAGTTAAAATACACAACAATGCATGACTTGATACTACTACAATGACAACTCGATTGCAACTAATTTATTTTCTCCCATCCTTGATGCATATTGGTTGAGGAATAAGTTATGCCCTCCCCATATTTGATGCATACTGGTTGAGGAATAACAGCAAACACTTTTTCTACCCGTAAAAGCTTGTGACGCCCAAAAAGGGTTCAGAAAGTACGCACCGACAGACCATGCAATCGAGTAAGAAATGCAAATTGCAACCATCCAATCCAAACAAACAGCGGGACAAAAAACAATACTGCTCCTCCTCCGCCAGCTAATGCATCATTTATTTACTACGTATCGACAAACCACAATATATCATCAATTTGAAAAAGAATGAGGATCATCTCCGGATCTAGAGATTCTCAAATCGTGTTCGTTTATCGTATATCATGCGATCAGAAATTATTTTAAATATTTTTATTTAAAATTAAATATAAATAATATCTGAAGAAAACGAATCAGATATATGATAAACTGATACAATTTAAGAATATCAAGATCCTCATAAAAAGGATCTGGAAAGGATATCATTCTCTGAAAAAAAAGTATATTAATATATATATACACACACACATACTGCGGTGCACTGCACCAGCAGCACAATTTTGGCCTTGGCTTGGATGAATTGCATGCAGTGGGACAGGTGGTGGTGAGGCAGAGAGAGAGGTGATGGTGAAGCACGAGAAGTTTTTAAGTGCGACGAAAACACAGATAATATACTACATGTTTTTATATAAGTAGTGAAAAATTATATTTTTAAATTATTAATTTTTTAATATATATATCTCATTATTTATGTCATGACAAATGGTATATCATCCCGTATGACACTCATACTGAAAAATTTCTCGTGCAGCACACAGCAGCTCACCTGCTACTTTAATACATTGCATTTCCCAATAAAATACTGCTCCCAAACGGCCGTTGTATCGTTTGCTGTTTGGTAGCCGAGATAGAACCTGAATTGTTTGCCATCCCTATCCCATTCCCTTCTCATCCCTTTCTATTTCTGTATTCACGGTTAAATCACGTTAATATTTTATATTGATTCTTTTATAAAAATAATAAGATAAAAAGCAATGAGAATATAAAATGTTAACGTTATATAACCGTGATCACAAAAAATAGAAGATGATCGAAAGAGTATGGAATGGAAGAGGGCAAACGACCCAGGTCGGCCGAGATAATTGACTAAAGGTGTGGAGAATAAAGGATTAAAGTTGCATTCTCTACTACGCAACGAATAAAGATCATCATCATCCACCGGACAACGGATAATGGGTCCAGATCACAGCACCACAAGTTGGAGAGAGATTTGTATGAAATAAAGAAGCCTAAGGGTACCGTAACGGTATCCCAAACATACGCGTCACTTCGTGCTTTAACTTTCCCATTGGGCACCACATGATTGGTTTGGAAAACTGTCACCTTAGCGTCGCCCTCCCACAATCTCCAACATGTTCAACGTATGAATTCCCATCATACAGAACTCAGAACACAATCAATAAGGAAAGACCAGAGGTGATACGTATCCAAACAGTTCATACTAAAACCGGATAATCGGTAAAACCCTTTTAGCAAAATTCGGGGTACGCAAACAAAACACAAGGATCCAAATGACCCAAAACCACCACAAGGCAAACAAGTATTCCACCCCTACAAAAAACCAAGTCAATGGTAGAAAAAAAAGAGGGAAAAGAGGGAAAGAAAATACCCAACCAAAAAACCTAGTTAAATTCATACATCTAAACTACAAAGAAGTCAGTAGTCTCTTGCTCACTAGCTTCCTCTAATCTCTCTCCCTTGTTCCTACAACCATATCATATTCTTCTTCCTAGCTTCTCAGCCACACTGTACAAAGTTACAACAAACCATGAAAACACCAACACTTCCATATACAAGTGCAACCGAACACTACTCAAAAACCATACACAGACACACAGTAGCTTTTCCTCTCTGAGTAGTGAAAGTACCTCCCTTGGCTCCTCTAAAGAGCCGAAGAGGACGCTTCTTGTCTCGGTTCTCTCAAGTACCCAAGAAGCGTTTCAGCCTGCAAAAACAACCAAACCCCCATTATAAACCAAGCAAGCGAGCTCCACTAACAATATGATCGAACATCAACATCATGCAACATCCAAATGCATGAAAATTCGCATTTCATTGTATAGTTCCTTCAACTAAAAGCATCAGCTGCCAATTTGAAATGAACAATCTTTTTTCTTTTATTCGAGCGATATTCTAATCTAATCTAAACTAAACTACAGGATGGGGTTTCGGTATAGGCTAATGTCTACAAAATCAACCATCTTCAATTTGAACAACATTCGCACCATTTCATCTATACGATTATAAACAATTTAACACTTAAACATGCATATGTAATGCAATTTAAGTAAAGATTGTCGTACCAATATCCAACTAATGAAATAATCAAGATACCTTGTGCTTAGCTTTAACACTCCCAGTCTGCGAAAGCGCAACCAACGGCGGAATCCCTCCTTCCCTCACAAGCAACCCTCTGTTCCTCACACTCTCAGTGCACAGCTGCAACAGTGTCAACACCGCAAACTCCTTTCCTTTCACCGACCCATCCTCAATCGCCTCCACAAGCGCTGCCAGCCCACCTTCCTCCACAATAGCCTCCTTTCCCTCCTCAACTCCTGCCAAGCTACTTAGCACCACCATCGCCTTCTCCGCCAGGCCCGTCCCCTGCTCCGCCACCAGCGCCACTAGCGGCTTCACAGCTCCAGCGCTCACCGCCCTCTCTTTGTTGGGCTTTATCGAGCAGAGCTTGTACAGAGTCGTCAAGGCGTCCTTTTTGCCCCTCATGGATCCACTTATTAACAGGGAAACCAGGGGCGGAATCGCGCCGCATGCTCCGATTGAGCCCTTGTTCTCTTCAATTAGCGCCAAGCTCAGCAGCGCACAGGCGGCGTTTTGCTTCGAGGTCTCCGTCCCGGTCTTGAGGACGTACACTAACGACTTTATAGCTCCGGCATTGGTGATTATTGCCTTGTTCGATTCGTGCAGTGAGAGGTTAAACAGCGCCGTGACGGCGTGCTCCTGCGTCCACGGATCGCTGCACCGCAGCAGAGGAATTAGAGCAGGGACGGCGCCAGACTCGCCAATCAAGGCGCGATTGTCGGCCCGGTTCTTCGCTAAAAGCCTGAGCTTGGCAGCAGCAGATTGCTTCACGGCAAGCGACGGCGATTGGAGGCCGTCGACGCAGATCTTGACCGTCGGCTGAAGATCCTCCGGCGAAATGCTTTCGATGATTTCGGTCGAGAAGTTCTCCCTCTGCAAAAACCCCTGACATGGCTCCGGTTCCGGCGCAGCCTCGGCTGATTCGGAGGTCGGCCCGTTTTCCGGCGACGGCAAGCTCGCGAGTCGTTGCAATTCTCCCGAGATGTCACTGCTGCAGGCAGAGAAATCGCTGAAGGCTTGGGAGAGCTGGAGGTACTCCTCGTCGGAGGAGGCGGACTTGGCGGCGGAGCTGTGGGTGCGTAAGGCGAGCTCGCCGAGGCGCATGTCGACGACAGAATCAGTTAGGTTCTCGGAGACAAAAGGCGATCTTTCGGCGGCGAAGGAGGTTCGGGAGTGGTCGTCTTGGTAGATGCTGGAGCGGATGGTGCGCATGGAGCGGCCAGTTTGGCGGTGGATTTTGGTGGAGGAGGGAGAATAGAAGTTGCGCGTGTGCGGCGGGAAGTGGTGGTTGGAGCCGGAATGGGAATCTTCAAGAGAAACCATTCTCAAAGCTCGGAGCTTTACAACAAATTTCAGAAATTTGCAGATGTGATTTGAGTTTTTGGGGAATTTTCAATTGGGGTTTTGTATTAGAGGTAGTGTGGAGTAGAGAAGGAATTCATGGCGTGGTGAAGTGTGGAATTGGGAGGGAGGGAGGGAGGGAGGGAGGGGGTGAGTGGAGAGAAAAGGTTGAAGCTGAGGGGCAGTGGGATTTGTTTATTTTTAAAGGGTCTCTGTCATATGTCATCTGTATATGACTGTATGTTTGTACGTATTGAGAGATTTATGACTGCTCGAACACAGACTGCTACGTTATTTAGTGCTATACAAGTGAAGGAATTTTTTTTTTTCTAAGTATCTTTCCACTTATAAAATGATATATCTCCATGTGTTTTGTGGAGTCATTTTTCTTGGGGATGATGTTTTTTTATTATATTTGGTTGTATTAATAATCAAGATTTATTATATCATCGTTACGTAGTTGTTATGTTACCCTTAAGTCATTAATATACAATCAAGATCTCGTCATTATTAAAAACTAATTATTTCTACAACTAAATCTCAAAAACTAATTATTCATGCCTATTGCCCTTTTTTCTATTTTGTCAGAGACGTATGAAGCAATATAGTGTTATTCATTTTGGGTTGTAAATGAAGGCTTTAGGTTTGATTTGCATTAACAACAACTACGATTTAATATTTTTTTTGAGCTTGATGCTAGTTGTATTTGCATAGAATAAAATATCATGTATAAAATAAGATGTATCGAGCGAAATTACAGAACAAGCAATGATTGAGAACTGATTTTGATACTCTTTTCATTCATCCCTTATGTATTTTTGTATGTAAAAATTACTTCTCATGTTATAATCTGTCTAAAAATGCTTAAGTCGTTATGCTCATAAGAACTTTTATTAAAAGCACTTCAAATTTTAATACAAATTAAGTGATTCATGAAGAAAAAAATCATTGAACAAAGCATTTTCAATTCCTTTTATAATTCGTGAGCATTTTAAAATTGTTGATGTATGTGACAATAACTCTCTAATTACTTTTCTTTGTTTATATGGTTGGTGCGAGTTTAAAGGGCGACGGAGTCACAAGCAAAGCTTCCTATGCAAAATGATCGCAGACCACGTATTTAGCCAGAGGGTAACGACACCGTTTGGTAACACAAACAACGGCATGAAACTAAAAATTTAGAATTAAGGCAGGGGGCTGATGTGACTGTGGGCAGGGGCACAAATCCAGTTGGCTTTTTTTGATGCGACGGGTGCATTTTAGGTGGGACCCATGAAAGGTGCCACGCCGTCCTTTTGCCAACTTTCGAACCTCAACCTTTCGGTCAAAACTTGAATTGGCAAGCAGATCTGTGAGTCCGGGTGAAAAAAACAGAACCAATGGAAGTAGTTTTTCACGCACGTCCTTTTATTTACTGAGAATTAAGAGAGAGCTATGTGAAAGGAGGACGATAACATAATTATGTTTCGATGGAAAATATTATTAACATTTTAAAAATTTTATTTTACATTTTTTATAAATGTATTTTTTTTTTTTAATATAGAAAGTTTACGATGTATAATGTGATTTTTAAAATGCTAATAATAATTTCTTATTCCGATTAATCTTGCAATACCATGTAGCAGGATTATGCATTTTGTAAGGATTGAGCACATGGTAAGCACAATATATTTTAGAAATTGCTATCTCAACTATCCTGTTTCATGTAAATTTCTCTCACCGTAACGTGTATAAACATTTTAACAAGATTCAGCTAGAATAGGGAAGGGCACGTGTTGCCAGCTGCATCATCCTGTAATGGTTCTGATCAAGCCGTCCGAGTCTCCGGACGATGAGTAATATAGGTGCGAGGACGGTGGTATTTGGTGTTGGAGATGGGAGGGTCTAGAGAACTGGGCCAAAGTCAACTACAAAGTGTTTTCCATAACCTGGGTATTGTGTCCAAAATCCACCACGTCAGCCACACGTGCCTGGCCAACACAGAGCCAGAGATGAAAGACCTAGTACTCTAATCATGACTCCATCAGTTGATTAACCACGTTTAGGGTTTGGTTTATGCAAGAAAATGGGCAAAAGTGCCCACTTATTTATGCTGATCACTGGTGAAGTCCTAATTACTAATTAGTAGTCCACCAGACAAAGTTTAATGGATTTGTTATTCAAAAGGTGCCAACCTCCTCCCGAAAAGGGTTCTCGTTAGATTATTTTTCTAGGAATTTTAGGAATTCTGTAATTATGTATGTTCATCGTATATCGGGCGTTTAATTTTCGTTAAATACTATTTATATTTAAATTTTAAATTTTAAATTATTTCTAATAACATGATATATGATAAACGAATACGATTATATGATCTCCAAAAAAAGATCCACGGTCCACACCTCCATCTTGTGATCTTCCTCTTATCTGCTAACCATGCCAATGTGCCCAAAAGTAACAAATTAATATTTGAACCTCGAGCCCGTTAAAGGTCGGGACACTATAATTATGATATTTGTTGACATCACCGATTTTAAGAGTTAACATTTATGTATATACAAATATAATAATTAAAATTATAAAAGAGACGATTTCTAAAGGAAAAAAAGTATTATTTTATTAAAAGAAATAGGTGATACTAGAGCCAAATATTGCCTATCCTATTCCAAATTGAAAACATTGCTCACCAATATAAACTTATAATATTACTGATTACGATCTTCTATGCGTAGATACAAAGAATTGGCTCACCTAATTATCAATCTAAACTAATATAAATATAGCTTAATTGTCTTGTATTTTTCAGCACCTAATAAACTTTTCTTTATGTCTGATCTGGTCTACTGTCCATCTCCTATATCTCCAATCAATTTATTTTTATAAATTTCATTGATATTTCCGCAGCCACGCCATTCAACAAAAAGTACTCTATATTATAAATTATAATCTTCACTCAAACATACGTACGCTTGTTAATGCATATATACAGATGTTTTATGAACAATAATATAACCAGATATTATTCGTTTCATTAATATTCATGATAAACTCATGTTAATCCTACATGCTGAGTTGTTTAGCACCCTAACTGCCCTTTTGAAAATCTGCAAAAGATGGTGTTTGTTCTTGGTGAACAAATATTCAGAGATGATATTATACAAACTTATTGGGGTGGATCAACCAAATCTTGCCACGTTACAATTATGTTTGATTGATGAATTCTAATAATCTGGAGAGATTTTTCGGTGTGCCTAAAACATGTACTTGTATACTACATTTCATTATACAATTAGATGAACTCTTGAAACATAAAATTTATCTCTAGTTATATTATGAAATATGATATATTACTCTGTATTTCGATCACACTAGAAAAATTCTCAACAATTTGCTGTATTTATTTGTTTATTCATTTGGTCTAGGACTTTGTAATATGCCGTATTTTTACAGATAATGTTTTGATATGATTATCCATCCTAGGTTATCAAGTAAAAAGTTGTAATTAGTTGATCAGCTCACTTCACTACACAGTATCTTTTACATGATAACGCGCATTTGACTAAAACTTTTAGAATGATGACGAACTTCCAGTAATTTTCTGTAATATTGTAAATGTTTGTAACTTGGAGATTAAACTGAAAATCCATCATCATTTTTAATACTTTACATTACTTATAACGCACGATTATTCAGAATTATAATCAAGTTCATAGTAATGTTACAATTATTTTATTTTTCATACCATATACAAATATATTGTATAAATATGATATAAAAATGTGACAAGAATAGCATTTTTGTTAAGTTAATTAGAATTTCAGGGTTTGAAGATTAAAGAGGCTAATGATGGCTGCACAGACTTGCAACAATTTTATGCGCTTTTTGGCGAATGAGTTTTGATGTTTGTGGTTCACCATACTCGGCACTCAGAGCGACAACACATGAGTTGGAAGCCAGGCCGATTGACGTAATAATAATCCTGATTAAGTAAACACTTTTAGTGTGCAAACATGTGCTAAAGATAAGTAAATTTTACCACAAAACTAGTATAGAAACGACGATGCGATCATGGTGTCATACTGCATTAAGAAAACTCCTCACAAGCTAGAACCACGTGGAATCGAAATTAGAACAGAATGAGGTGGTGTAAATAATGCAGTCGAGGTTCTACACGAAATTAAATTAAAGAGTGACTCAACTCCATATAAATTATTATATTGTTCTCAAATTGTTTGATTAGGTGTTTAGACTCTAAGCACACCTCTTACTCATGATGTTGTTTAAGCTTAATACGTTACTTACACATATTGATTAACGTGAGCCACGTGAATCTTTAAGCTCAATAAGTGAATTTGATACTACAAATAAAAGTTACGAGAATCCATCTAAATCAATCGATCATAGGAAGAATGACTCAACGCATAAATTCTTGTAACGTGTAAGGTTTCTAATTCCCCGATGCAAAAGTAATAGATATAAAAGACTTGACAAGTTGAACATGCATTAGTTTGTAGGGTTAAGATTTTATATGTACAAATTTGGGCCTGGAAGTTAACTCTCGGATTTTATAGAATTTTGATGGCAAACATCAAATTGAAAGCTCTAGCTAGCTGGTTGTGACATGCATGGCTGATCTGTTCGGTGTCCAATTTCCAAGCAATGTGCATTGGTGTGCCAATTGTTTTTCTGTTCATCTCTTGTCCACAAAAAATTATTAATTAAAATGAAAAGTTGTCAACGGTGATGAATTAACTGTATGTGGCTGTTAAGTAGGCTTCATCTTCATCCATTTGAAGTTGACAAGTCTGTCTACATGCATGCGAAACTATGGTTCGTGTTTGTCTGTACTGTTTGCGTACGATTTCACACCAGATCCTATATATGTACATACATATGTATTTATGTATATCTATATATATGCCTGTAATTAGGAGGTTATATTTTGCATAAAACGATTGCCCAAAATAAAAATATTTTGCATATAAGGTATGCACATCGGGTTGGCGAGTTTTCGAGCTGTTTTATATCTGTATATTTTATATATATATATATATATATATATATTATTTCAAAACAGCACACCAGATTTGAAATTAAAAAGAATATATAATTTTCCACAAATATTATATATATATATATATATCATACTTAATTTCCCTTTAAACATAAATGAAAATCGATTAAAAGGCGAGTCT